CTTGGTCAAAGCTTTTTGGTTAACGTTAAACACAACTCAATCATTGACTGAATTCATCACGTACATGATAAAAAGAAGCCAGAGTCAAAAAGATGACTATAGCTCATGAAAGCATGCAGTGACTGAACCATGCAGCGGTTCAAGTAAGACAATGACTGACATTAAACTACTTCTAACTGATCATTATTGAGGAAGTTATTTTCTACATTGGTAAATTTGGTGAAATTTTTACAATAAAAAGGTTAACCTGCGTACAAGTGAATCTTATGAAATCATAGATTTGACTTAGTTTGGCTCGCAGAATGTTTTAGCATATCAGAATAAACCCTCTGATAATGGATGAGAAAGAAAAAAATAGAAGGAATATCAAACATTACTGAAACTCTCAAGGGAAACAACTATCCAAAGAACTTCATCAACAAAGTCAACACTGACATTAAGTATGGTCGAAAATGTATTCCGAAAACATGGAACTAAACAGTTGTCATTCCATATAGAGCAGAGACGTCAGATCATATCAGAAGAGTACTCAATAAGCTCGACATTAGAGTTTTCTTCAAAACATCAGACACACTGCAAAACAACCTTGTCCATATAAAAGACAAAATCTCTAAAGTTTCTTTATCTAATTGTGTCTATAAAATAAAATGCTTGGAATGTATGTGATGCAATATACATCGTACAAACATCTCGAGAAATCAAAATCAGAAGAAATGAACACTGTAGAGCATCTGTTCGACCACCGAGAAATCCAGTTAGTGAACTAGAAAAGCTCACAAAGTCATCAGCCACAGGTTTACACGCTATAGAATCAGGCCACAAAATTGATTCTGACAATACTGAAATCATCATCAAGAAATCACAAAGGACATCTCATGTCATCAGAAGCACTTGATATCAAGTGGAATCCAAATTGTCTGAACTGAATAGGAATGATGGACTAAAACAGAATTTGACCTGGTTACAACACCCAATGCCTCCCCATGAAATGACAAAATCAACACGAATGTAATAAGTAATTTCACTATGTAAACACACGCTGCTTTTATAATTTTACACAATGATCAAATCCAACAATCTACACCTGGTTTTGTTATCTTTACCAATTGACCAACTTGACAACGAAAAATGACCCCATGCTGAGGAACGATGATTAATTTGTTATACATATGCTGAGATTTTGTAAATTCTGGTCTAATAATACTACTTTGATAAAGCTATTAGCAGCAGCATTAAATAGCGAAACGTCATTAAAAACACAGTATCGTTTTGTTTTTCATTCATTGGGAAATAAAAAATTTGAATATCATATACCCAATGATCAATTTTTTTCAAACTGTTAAAAGTGAATTTGGTTTGGACATATATGTAGAATAAACTAAAATTTATTATTCTACTCATACAAGATCAATTCGGCTTTAGACTGTTTAATAAAATTGCTCTACGGAAGGTTCTCGACTGATACAAGTATGGAAATTGGATAACTATGTCAGGCTTGGATGGTTATCACACTTTAAGTTAGACAGAAGTTGTAAAATCCAATGAATAATAGCCTGGAATGGCAACCAAATCGAATAACCTACCAAATGGACTTGAAGAAACCAGTCGGATCATTTTCCCTGGGAAATTCTTTATCGTCAAAAGATGCTTGATTGCTTTTACAGTTAGGATTGAGGGTTAGGAATTCGGTTGGGGTTAAGGTCAGGTTTATGGTCAAGTTTGTGTATGATGTTGAGGCTTGATGTTAAAGTGAGGTAAGGGTTTAGGAATAAGTTTTAGCTTTAATACCTATTTGTTTCAACCTCAATTTTGTAGCATTTTAAAGATTTTTATTTCAACTGATTAAAAATGCCCACTAAGCAATGTATATGATACTTTGATCGAAAATAGCTATCTAGAAAAATTTATCAGGAAACACATGACAAAGAAAGCGGAAAATGACTACTCACCATCTGTAAACAAGAAACCACTTTATATACGACTGCAATTCAAGGGCAATATACCAAGTGAGATAATTATGAGGAAATTAAGAAAATCAGTTCAAAGAACTTTTAATTCTGGCGGACTACATGTATTATTCTCTACACGACCGATGGTGCTACCTCGACTGAAGGATGAAGTACCTAGACTAGCTAGCCACTTCTATTTGTATCTACCAATTCAACTGCACTTGTGGTGGAGCGAGGTATATTGGCCGATGCTCTAGGAACTTGATTTTTCATGCTCGATCACATCTCCCAGTATGGCTAAGTAAAGATGTAGTGAAAGCCATCAACAGTTCGATTTTGGACCATCTGGTCCAAACCGGACACAAAGCAGGCTAGCATTGAAGAATCCTTCTCTGTCACCTTTCGGGTGCCAAATAAATTGCCAAAAACATCGAGGTACTGCTTGCTCCAAACAGCAGAGGCTATCGCAATTCGCGTGAAACAACCAGTGCTTTGTGTGCAAAAGAAGCAAGTTCAGCCACTATTACTACTACTACTGCCCTGGCCGGCCTTCAGAAGAGACTGTAAATTCATGAATTTGTAATATTATCTTTCCTAATTTTTCTCATATTTGGCTTATTTTATGCTGATGCTATTGAACTGTAATCTATCAATATTATTGCTTCGATGTTATTTAAACAACATTAATGTTGTTCATAACACTAATTCATTCATTCACTATAATGTATATATAACTATGGAGCCTGATGATGAAGTTATCGGAAAGAGTATTCTTTGTTCAGTCTCCATTCTTCTTAAAATTTTTATTTCAGTCAGTCATTTCAGTCAGCTGATCTCTTCACATCATCTGACTATTCTGATCTACTTCTCAAGGTCAACCTGTAGGTCATTCGATTTTATTGTCTTCCTTTACTTTTGCCATTTTAGTGAATTTGAAAATTGATGGGGAATACGTATAGCTCAAAATGTTGATATTCAAAATGAACGTTTCCTAAGATAAGATTTTGTCAATAACCTCTTCAATATTTTGGTAGATGTCACTATCAATGCTTACTGGGGAAGTGAATTAGTTCGGCTATAGGTTTCTTCTTAGAGAGCTATTTAATTGCATTACCGATCAATTTAACTTGCTTAAATGTAGCCTTCTTAGGATGCTACATAGTGATTGGTTGTCCTGCCATGCTTGAATAAACTGAAGCTGGATATGTCAACCTGATTGGTCGCAGTTTTTAGTTCATGTGGGTGTTCTCTTGCAATAATTGGCTAGTTACAGGGAATTACATAGATGTATAAACAACTATTTCGATGTAATTGATTGACGATCTCTCCTTTGGTTTCCACAATGGTCTTTCTGTACTAAAATTGACCGGTTTTGACCGCCAATTTGTTTTCCCGAATAGGCCAAATTCAGGTTAAATCAGTCAGAAAAAGTGTATACACAAATGACCGATAGGATTCCAAATCTCCACGACAACTTTACCACTTATTGCATAGCAAACAGCAGTATCGATCTGTGATAAAGATGCTAAAATACTTCTTTACCAAAGGATGGTTATATACTGGGTTTCGTAATAGTGTCTGTAGGCAGTGCCTCTTAGTTCGAATTCTCCTGAGGTTCAAGTGTATACACAATTGACCAATAGGATTCCAAATCTCCACGACAACTTTACCATGTCAAGCATAGCAAACAGCAGTACCGAACTGTGATTACGACGTTTAAAGACTTCTTAACTAGAAGGTGGTTATTGGCTAGGTTTCATAATAACGTTTGTAGGGAGTACCTGTTAGTTCAAATGCTCCTGAGGTTCAAGTTTTTCCTACAATACCGATTTCATGTTTTAATCTAAACATGATTAGTAAGTCACTGACAAATAATAGATCTAACCAAAATTATTCTCGATACCTTAGCATGAATACCGGTTACCCGTAGTTATAAATAAGCATGGAGATGGACTGGACGCTCGCTGAGGAGGCCGCTGGGTGACATCGAGAGTCAGGCCAGTGCTCGAGTGGAACCCGAAAGGGAAGCGGTGAGTGGGATGTCCAAGGGTGACATGGAGGAGATCATGTGAAGAGGAGTTGAAACAATATGGAATAACATGGATGCAGGTGAAAAGCACAGCAGAAGACAGAAGCAAGTGGAGACGTGCAGTTGAAGCCCCATGTTCCACTAGGAACCCAAGGGAACAATAATAATATAATAATGGCTGACTGTATGGTTTGTGTGGACATACACTATGCATAAATGTACATATATATCCTTAAAGTATATTTTATACTTTACCAAGGTAGTTGTGACAAAGCTGTGAAAAGTGTAAAAGAAATACAATTTTTTGTAAAAAATCTCTCGGTGTGTGTGTTTTATAAACTGTTTGACTCAGTAGTGACGACGAGGCATTTGAGGTAATGCATACTAAGCTTAAGTGCTGACAGTGAGTACTGATACAAAGAAGCAGGCCACATCATGATGATCGGTTTCCGATGGAGTAAAATAGGACAAAACATCATAAGTTGAATGAATTTAATATATATATAAATATATACATCGGTGGTTCAGTGGTATATACTCGCCAACCGTTTAGATGGTTTAGAGTTCGACTCCCTGCTCAAGCACCCCTTAACCTCGCTTATCCCTTAGTAAGTCTAGTAGAGAGGGAAAACTGGGAGTGAAGCTGGCTATCCCACCCAATAACGAGTAAAAAACACTATTAATGAAAATTCAGTCTCCACCCAGAAAGCGAATGAATAGAAAATTACATATACATATATGTAATACTAATACTAATTAGTGCGTCGGTGGTATAGCGGTTAGGACGCTTGCCAATCATGCACATGGTCCGGGGTTCGATCCCCGGCCGACGCACTCCTTTACCTCGCTAAGCCAGAAATAATGCTGGTGAAGGGGAAAGGTTGGGCATGAGGCTAGCAACCCCATCCTGTAAAATAAACACTGCTACAGAAACTTCAAGCCACTAGCTTGAAGCCCTATGTTCCACTGGGGAACGTGAAGGAAAACAAAAAAACAATACTAATTATATCACATAAACATACTTTTGGTTCTAAATGTCCAACCATTGATAATAACGGTTGAAATTCTTCAACTTCAACCCGGCATACTTGACCTTTTTGAGCACGTGGTAAAATTGGTAAATGTTCATGCAACAGAGGTGCTGAATGTCCTCTCCATACATGTAAATGTTGTCTAACTATATCATTACGTAATAAACTGTATCCATTCGATGTTGGTGCATCATTAAGCATCTGATCATCATCATCATTATATGATGACATTTTGTGACTACCTTTATGAATAATTCCATGTCTTTTAATATATTTTGCATTAGAACACAACAGAATACAACATATACTTATGTAGTATGTTAAACAAATTACAATAAATCTCAGTGTAAATTTGTTTCTCATAATTCTTTTTTGTATTTTATAAGATTTTATAAGATAAAATATGCCAGAAAATTTCCGCCAAAAACTGTGAATTTACTTAGATCTCCATTTGATGAATATAAAATAATTTGTTACAGTTTATTAGACTACTTCGAGTATGCGTTCTGTTGAAATTATACACCAATGTTAACTGAATATACGTCATTTGTGAGCCATCTATTCAACAGAACATGTAAGCACACAATAACCAATAGGATTGTTTGTTCAGTCTTAACCAATCATAATTATGTGGATGAAAGTTTGTGCTGACTCCTCTCCCTACAGTGTGTGTAGTTTTCATACTTTAATTTTAATGCATACTGACACGCTACACTGAAGATGGGTAGCCTATTTCACTAGTATCCCACGGACCCACCCACACCCCTATAAATGATCTGGTACTGCCAGCGGCAGGTAGATTTTGATTTTTCGCTCTCAAAATGCTGTCATGTGGCGACGCCTCCATGACCTCTGACAGGTAAGTCCTATACAGTGCCTTCGTGTGGATATGGGTTATCTCATAAATGTGAAAAGCGCTTATCACTGGCCTGGTTGATATGGAGGTACACGCTGGAGAGCTGAGAAACCCTAACTCCTAATCCATGGCATACAAACATATTCTACCATAAGCTGTGTGAGCTACTACAGCATGCACGTCAAACAAATATCATAGTTTTAGATGAGAGGTTATTTAAGTGCACAGATTGGAAGTCTAGGCCCAGGGAAGATTCGTTTAGGTGGTACATAAGGACTACGTGGTCACAGGTCAAATGTGTAGGACTGTCTCTTCAAGCCTTATGTAGATCATAACCTATTTTTTTAACCGGCATCAACTTCCGGCACAAGCATCACCATACAGCTACCTAGACCGGAAGACAATACGTTGTTACCAATCATCGATGATATGGGTGGGTGCATAGAAGACTACCATTTCTTCTGGAGTACTCGCATGGATTGGTGTGTGCCAGGTTTATCTTGCGATTCGGTGGTAGTCATAAACGTCAACCTCAACAGGTTAACATAAATAAAATGGTACCTGCTACCGCTGAGAAGCATCAAACCAACCTACAGTCAAGACTGACCCACCAGATAGTATAGACGAACAATCGTTGCACTTACAAGACGCTGAGAAATTGGTAAGTGAAGGCGTTTGCGGGTTAATAGAATGTTCCACTAAAAACACTGGTTTTCTGCATGTTCTCCGCAGCTTTTTGACACCTTTTGGTCCATCGCGGAGGATGACGAGTTTAAAAACATTCAAAAGGCCATCACACGCAAGGCCAAACGATGTTTACACAAAGACTGCAAAGTCTGGTGGTCAGAATGTGTATGTGAAATGGAATCAGCTGCAGCATTTATGATAGTCGGAAGCTATTCCAGCTCATCTGAGCTACCAGCAGCCAGAGGTTAGGTATCAGCGAGACGGGCTGTAAGGCTGATGATACGCAGATTAACAAACTAATGGGGCGTCTGGAACTCCAGACGGAGCACTTTAAGAAACAGTTTGGCTGAATGGCAATGCTGACATTCCACATCAACAGTTACAATACCTAATGGGCAGCTAGTATCGATTTATTAAACAAAACCGAGATCCTAACAGAGGTTCAATTACTGAAGCGCTATAAGGCACCCGTCCCAGACAACCTATCTGCGGCTCCTATTAAAGATAGTAGTGAGACTCCAATCATGGAACTAATGTAGCATATTTGTTGGTTGGAAGAAAAATTATTAAATTCATTAAATTTTATATATAATTGGATGGATTGTTATTCAAGAAAGTATGGCAAAGTGAGAATGTTTCATAATTGTAGAATGAAGCTATTGCCATGCCCACCTTTAAAAATTGCTTACATGTGACAACCATCGTGGTATTACTCTGCTACCAGTCGGCTCTAAAATATTGACTGCCATCTTACTTCTCAGGATGAGGAAAATTTCGTAAGAAATTGGTCATGAAGAGTAGTCTGTCTTTCATTCGGGTCGTGGATGTACTGGTCACGTGAACATTAGATCAACTACTAGAAGCTGACACAATTCTTATAAACCAAAAGTTACTGTACTTCTGGATATCAGAGCTGTCTGTATTCAATTAGTTGGGCTGAACTGCTCTCTGGAATTTTTTTTTGAGGACAGGTATTCCTGAGGTTTTTAACATCCTGAAAACCCTATACAGAAACACCTTAGGTAGAATGAGGGTATACAACCCGTTTTTCTCAGCAAGTATTGTGGTTAAGCATGATTATCTGGTCTCAGCACTTCCCCTAACTCCATTATCGATGACACTCAGTAGTAAGGTCTGGAGAAAGGCTTTCCGACCTCGAGTATACAGGCAGTATCGTTGGATAACACATAGACTGTCCAAATTGCACTTAATCAGTTGGTGGTCACTGTCTGTAAGTTTGACAGTAGCCTCTATCTGAAATCCACCTCACAGGTCTACCCTCCGGAGTAGTCGATAAGTTCGTGTATTAAGGTGGTTCAGTAAGTGCTCCTTGGGACATCAGATTCTGTGGATTCGAAAAGTGCATATTCATATACATATATATATTCAGGTATTGGTTTTGTAGGGATTTTGTTCGATTGGTTGGAGGACTTCATCATGATCTGAAATCATTCACAGAACCATTGGAAAACCAACAAAGAATACTGGACAGTCAGCTGTTTCGTCAACCTAGTTTGGGACTCTTCGTCAGCACGAACCCAGGGCCTTCTGGTTACAAGACGAGCTGGCTCGCAGACCATTGGGCCACTGGGACCCGATTCATTGGCCAGTCCATGAATTCTAACTTCTGCCGATTTATGACATGGCGCGACCACTTCGCAGTATCTTCTTCGATGAGTTACTGCCTCACCTTCAACCTGCTGCAGCCTACTGGTCACGGATTTCCACTAGAACCCCCGGTTAACTGCCTCAATAGGACCAGTCACTAGTGAGCATCAGATCAATTTTCAATTACTGGTTTTGTAGGGATTTTGTTTGTTTGATTAGTTGGAGGATTTCATCACGAGCTAACATCATGACGACATCTATATATATATATATATATATATATATTCAAGGGTTCTCAGCTCTACAATTTGCAGGTTATTAGGTGAGCATCATTCAAAAGTCTCCAAACGGACATCCACTGCTTCCTCATCACCAATATTTACCTAACCTACTCTGATTCCTATTAAATGCATGTTTATATACTCAAAGTAATAAAAACAGTTTTAGAATTCCTCCTTCTGCATGTCATTCCAATAAATTAAGTGAATGTTTCATACTGATATTTTACAACGGTATTACTTTTAACGGGAAATGAGATTTCGACTGTCTTAGGATACTCATCAGAAATTTTAAAATGCTTCGGAAGACCTATCAGTGTGGCTACATAAATGTGATAAACATGAACAATTCGATATTAGCACATCTGGTCAAATCAAGCGATAAAATCAGCATTGCTGAATCATCTTTTTCTCTATTCTCTATCGGGTATCAAATAAATACACTGCCAAACGGAAGTAGGCACTGAATACTCTAAATAAAAGTAGAAGCCATAGCAATTCGCTAAAAGCGGCTGTAACTTTTCTGTTTAGAAGGAAAGCCTTTAGCCACTATTAATACTCTGGTCTACTGAGGAATCTATAAATTCATTACTAGTTTATTGTCTTATACCTTTTGTGTATGACCTTACATCCTGTATGTATAAATTTCCCTATCACTTATTTATTATTACATTTGTACAAATAAACCTTTCACATTTGATTCAACGCTAGTAAATAGTGTCGTGTGTCTAGTCCTTTGTTTGGTGCAGACTGAATTCTATCAGTCAAGTCTGCAATGTGTCCACCAAACCAATAGGTGGCTTGTAATCATGGTACACTCAGGATTGTAGCTATTAGATGGTTGGAAGCAATTGGTCAGAGGAAGCCTTCAATCTAGGTTTGTGGCTTGTTGTCACTAACTAGTCAACAAGGCTTATCTGCAGCCTTCGAGGAAATCATGTCCTTCCTGAGATTTGAACCCACATCATCCAGTGAGTGCTGAAGTCAGAGGCGTTACTATTGAGCTATTCGGGCTCGCGATCGACCTCCTGTAAGACTGTATTAGATACTTTCGATTGGACACTAACTAGTATGTTAGCCACATTGCAAACCTGACTGACAGAATTCAGTCTGCAGTAAACAAAGGACTATATATATTACACTAGTTACTACTGTCCAATCGAAAGTATCTAATACAGTCCTACAGGAGGTCAATCACGAGCCCAGATAGCTCAGTGGTAACATCTCTGACTGCAGCACTAAATGGGCAATGCGGGTTTAAATCTCAGAAGGGACATGATTTCCTTGGAGGTTGCAGATACGCCCTACTAACTGATGAATGCCAACTAGCACGAAACCTAGGTCGAAGGCTTCCTGTGGCCTACTGCCTCCAACCATCTAAAAACCTTTTTTATGAGTTGATCATGGATTGATATCAGTTAGAGAACCATTGAAAGCCAGCAGGGAGTACTGGACAACCAGCTGTTTTGTCAGCCTTGTTTGGGAATCATCGTCAGTACACAGCCACCACCAGAGTTCGAACCCAGGAACTTCCAGTTACAAGTCAAGCTGGCTCGAATACCATTCAACCACTGGGACGCGACCCACTTCAATGGCCAGCACATGAATTCTAACTTCTACCAATTAGTGATTTAGCGCGACTGGCACCAACCAATGTCGTTGGTGAGAACTCCATCCTCACACGTGACATCTGGATGGACCTGACTGGTCACGGCTTCTCACTAGAACCGTAGGAAACTCCGTCATGTAGCAAGTCACTAGTGAGCATCTATAGTTGGTTTGTTAGGATTAGTTTAGTGTTTTCGAGTTGATCACGGATGGATATCAGTTAGAGAACCAGTGAAAACCAGGGAGTGCAGAACAGCTGTTTCATCCTAACTTGGGACTCATCATCAGTTTGAACTCATTGAGATGGATGTCTCGATCGCTTCCAACCACCTAAAAACCTTTTACTTTCTTAATTTATACTTGATTATTTACTTATACCCTGTCACAGATTTAGGGGGATTAGTAACACCTTAAATTAAATTCTTAATTTGCAAACAAATTTGGAGATGAGATTTCATCATCAAACATTCCTTTGGAAACCAAAATCATTCATATTACAAT